AACTCCTGTGTTCGCGTCATCTGCATAAAGTTGTTTATATCCCACTTCAGGGTTTGTATAAAACTCTTTCCATCTCATATTTGCATACCATGGTGGCAAACCTAACGCAGCGTCATTTGACATGGCAGTTTGCATTTGTACATCTGTTGGCACTTGACCATAGTTTGCCATTGCAGTTTGTATTCTAACTTCATTTGGAATATTCTCTGGGTTTGGTTGTCCAGGTTGCTGTGCATTCGCTAAGTTCTGTGCGTCCATTTAATATTAGATAAAAATATCTCTTACGAGTACATATGCTGAACGTTTGCAGGCATTGGTTCATCTTCATATTCTCTATATCTTTCTGCCATGTCAAAGAAATAAATGACACAATGGAAAAAACCTAAAACAAGTAGTCCTATTTCAAACCACATTTACTTACTAATAAAATTTCTTTGTTATGACACTTTCTCCGGTTTATAGGACCTCTCTCATATTCTATCTTGTCATATCTAAACTCATAGTCATGTATGTCCTCTAACCATCTCATAACGGTTTCCAAACCACTTTTATCGGATGTAAAGTAAAAGCATGGACAGTTATGTAAAACGTCTAAAGTTTCTAAAGAGTCTCTCAAAGTCCAGTCTACTTGGTATTGAAAATCGCATGTGTTATAGAACGGCGGGTCCACTATAAAGAAAACATTTTCCTTGTCTTTATATTTTTCATACAACTCTGTCCAACGACATCTCACAAACTCTATACCCTCAATATATTTTTCTATGTCCTCTTTGAAAACATTTGTATAGTTAAGATATAAAACTTTTGACATAAGTGTTTCAATGTCATGAACTCTTATAGAACCACTATATAATAGTCTAGCAGATATACTATCCCAGTCTATATATTCTGCTTTTTTCAAAACTCTCTCACAATATTTTTCTTATCTAATGGTATACGTTCCATCTTACCTATAGGTATCTTTTCTTTTAACTCTTTCAATATATTGTTTGTATCTGGTATATGTTTGAGACGGTCCATATAGTTGTCGAAGTCATTGCATATAATCTTTGAGTCTGGGAATATTGTATGGCACAAATGGGATATATAGAAACTTCCACCGAACAAATCTACAAATGTTAGACCATTCGGTAGTTTCTTAAGTTCTCTCAATAGAATATCTTTACATTTACTCTTATTTCCAAAGAAGGGTAACGGTGGTTTTGTAAAATTCATTTATATATAATAATAAAAATGTTTTTTCCTGAAAAGTGACAGAAAGGGCTTCTCAAAGTATACTTCCTTGGAACGCCTGTAACTTTTCCTGTAGCGACGATAGACCCTTACTTGTCCGGACAAAGTTATACTATTTTGAGTGCTCTACCAAAAATTTTTATGGGCTAGAGGGCGCAACGCGCCTGGAAGCCCCCAGTACCCAAAAAAACTTCATTTATACTAAACATCTTCAGGGCTAGAGGGCACGAAGTGCCTGGAGGCCCCACTCCCTTTTTTTTTTTTTTTTCTTTTTATGTATGTAGTAATTCCTCAATAAAGTGCCAAAACCCTATTAAAATATATGAACATTTTCAACATTTTAATGTTTTTATTTAAAAATTTGATGGAATATGAGCTTCAAACAATTATTATGTAAATAGGTAGCCAAGATAATGCCTAAAAATAAGGTTCTAAATTCTGAAGTTTACATGATCCTCTCGTGTGCACCCTTAAAAAAAATGCAAAAAAATGTAATAAAATAAAAAAATTTTTAGTATCGATAATCTGAAATATGTTGTTTACTTAAGCCACTCGCTTCGCTCGCGGCTTAGTTTCGTAGTTTCGTACAATCTTTTTTCGAATCTGTTCTTTTCGTCAGCCGCGAGCGAAGCGAGTGGCTTAGTTTCGTAATTTCATACAATCTTTTTTCGAATCTGTTCTTTTCTTAAGCCGCGAGCGAAGCGAGTGGCTTAGTTTCGTAATTTCATACAATTATTTTACGAATTTGTTCTTTTTGTCAACCGCGAGCGAAGCGAGTGGCTTTTTATTTTTAAAATTTTTTTCTTTCTTACTTTTTCCCCCCTTACTTACAAATTTGATAGTAACTTACCAAATCTCTCTATCATATAATAATAAATTAATCCATTTTTTGTTTCAAATCTAACACTTTACATTTCTGACATGTAAACATGTCATTTTTCACTTCACCTCACTGGGCAAGTTTGTGCCCCCTCGCCAGTTTTGAATCCGCTTATTTTTATCGACCAAAATTATAATAAATATAATTTTCGATAAGTATTCTACCCAAATGATTCTTCAAAAATTTATTTTTCGGATTTTATTCCGTAAAAAAACGTTACAGAAAACGCCTAGAAAATTTCGAATTTTCCCTAAAAAATTCAGTGCAGGTCGATTTAAGAGATTTTTCAAAAATAATCATATCAGTAGATAGGGTATAATATAGAGAAGCTTTATGAATAACTTAAAATCCGGGAAACTCAATATTCAACGAGAAAAACGCTTAACGAATCTCACTTTTGGTGTAAACATCACAAAAAATTGAGAGGGCTTTCTGGTCGGAAGCCTCCCTTAAAATTTTTCTTTCTTGATTTTTTACAAAATCTACTTAGAATTATGCAAAATATGACTAAATAATTATAAATTTCAAGTTAAATTTTAATTTTGATAAATAATTTAAATTTCAAAATATCAAGTTCAGTTCGACTATGTATGTAGTAATTCCTCAATAAAGTGCCAAAACCCTATTAAAATATATGAACATTTTCAACATTTTAAATGTTTTTATTTAAAAATTTGATGGAATATGAGCTTCAAACAATTATTATGTAAATAAAAATAATTAAATATATGTATTTATTCGTATTACAACCGTAGTAAGTCGATTCTTCCTTTCTTCTACTGAGATTTGAATTTGATTTCGAATTGTAAAGAGATTCAAAGGGAAAATACTAGCGGATAAAAACTACCTCCATGAAAGGGTCATAATGGAGTCAAGTTGTATTTTTTGATATTTTTTGCTTTTCGAGCCTAAATAGGTAGCCAAGATAATGCCTAAAAATAAGGTTCTAAATTCTGAAGTTTACATGATCCTCTCGTGTGCACCCTTAATAAATGTAATAATATTGTGAATATCACAATATTGCCATATAGCGTTTCTTTCATTCAAAAATATGCGTTCTTTTACTGTTTGAACCTTAAATACATCAACTTCCCAATCTCAGTTAAGAGTGTTGATGAATATGCATTCGTTAAATGCAAATCTATTCGATGTCCAACTATTGAGAATACGACAGTTAATTACATTAACATGATTGTAAATTCTGGAATTCCTTATAATACTTCATGTGAAGATATCCAAATCACTCATAATATCAAGCCTCAAATCATGATTAATGGACGATACAAAGACATTCGAAAACGCTAATTATATTTATGATAAATCACTCATTATTCAAACATGTCTCTTTCTTTTTTATAATCAATTATCTAATAAAAATGCTCATATCCTATATCCAATATCATATATCCTTACTATTTTAATTGTGAAAGGTGAAAAATGAACAATAAAATATATCTTTTATGTTTAGAAATGATTAATCAAAAAGGAGCACAATAATCATATCAGAATTTAATTGATGATTAAATAGAGCAATTTGAGTTGATAAAAAAAGCATTATTTATAAAAATAGTTATGTTCAGAAGTTGGGGAAAAAAAGATTATTTAATTTATAAAACATTTGTTTTTATTTAGTGAGATTCAAGTAGGAATGCGCTAATTACGCCATTTGACCGGGCGTACATTTTTTTTGTTCGCCCAAATATTTCGCCATTTGAGAAATTCAAAAATTAAAAATAAAATTTTAATCTTGATTTTTTAATTTTCGTGATTTTTTTGGAACTTACATAAGCGATTAAATACATTTTTTAAGCACTCGTTTATTATATGTAAATATATCTTAATAAATTTAATTCCTTAAGGTAGAGCGTGTTCAAATTTAAAATCTCATACAATATTTTCTTAATGGCGTATTTTTCTGAGGTCGCCCAAATAAAGGCGAATTCAAAATTGAGAACTCCAAGGCGTATGGCGAGTATTCAAAAAGTACGCCACTTACAAAATATTGAATGTGGATTATCAAATTTTTGGCGTGTTCAATTTCAAAATATTGATACTTAGTTTATATCACTCTAGATGATGTTATGAATGTAACAATAACACAAATAGAATTTTTTCTTAGAGATTATTTTAAAATTTTTATTTTAAAAAATGTTGAAAATAGTATTTTAAGTATATTGTGTAAAAAATTAAAAAGACACAAATTTAATCATTTTTATATAAGCAATGACAAATTCCAGATATGAAAAATATCCTGGTGATGAAAGGACTTATGAAAAATTAGAGTATAATGCAAAATCCAACATTGGATTATGGGTTGTACTGCTCAGGTTCCCACCCAAGATGGAGATTCATTCAGATGCGCCTTTAAAAAAAGAGATGATCACCTAAAAAAAGAAATCAGCAATGGGAAGCTTCATAAATGTTTCCCTGATAGTGCAAAACAAAAAGATATTCGAAATTTTATATTATCTACAGAATCACAAATGGAAGGTTCTGTTGAATTTAATGCTGATGGAATTTTTCGCAGATTAGCTATCCTATTAGCAAAGCATAATATCTCTCTCAGCACAGGGGAAAGTGACGAAATATACAACTTAATTGTGTATAGCTTTTGTTTAGGCTATACAACATCAAAGGAGAATGGAAAAACTGCAATACAAGTTGGAATGGAAAAAATCCCTCATTACAAGCGCGATAAGCTCAAAGATATACTCATACAGACATCCAAAGAGATTCATTCAAGTATTATGGCGCGCTTCTCTACGTTCAGCATGCCTTACGCTAGTGTCGCTCTAGACGAAGGTACCACACAGAAGAGATCTTTACTCGACTTTGTGTTGGAAAATCCTTGCTTTCCAATTCAGTTTATCCAGCCCATACAGAAAGAATGACTGGATTGAAGACTGCCAACTACACACTCGCGATCAATAATGGATTGAAGGCAATCCATGATTGTCACGTGCAGATCGGCTGTGTCATAGTTGATGGAGGAACAGCACAATTGGCTGCACTTACTGGTAAGGATAATTCCATCCTTGCCTTATCCAAGGTGCAATGGATGAAGGAAATCATTGTTGTACCCTGTATTTGCCACAGGGTACACAATGCTTATAAGGCGGCAATGAACCATCCAGCAATTTCACCATTGAAGGATCAATTGCTGGAAGTTGCCGAAATATGCCGCCAGCATGTCGAGGTTTTTGGATCAAGATGCCCATCCAATGTCGAAACAAGATGGGTATCCTTCATCTATCCTCTCCATTTTATCTGGACCAAGCGGGCGAAGGTGACATTATTCCATTCCATTCCATTCCTGACGGAACAGAAGATCTTTATAAGTGTTCCGTCATCTTCGCCAGCTTGGTCCTGATCTTCGAAGACCCGAAGTCTCCACTTTCCAGGGTCTATCCTTGCATCTATAATGCAATGAAGGCCCTGGAAGAGCTTGATGCCGAAAACAACAGATTCGCCAGAATCTTTAGGGACATCTTGCTTGAGAAGACCATTCATTCGCAAATCTTATATACGAAAAAAAGAGATCTGACATTGTGTCAGATCTCAGTAAAAGTGACATTTACATGTCAAAAAAATAGAATGAGTTTAAGTAATTAAAATTGAGGGTGAGAGTAGTATTTTATGAAATAAGATCTCTCACCCTCCAATTCATCCTATGGCGCCGAAAAAAATTTTGGTGAAATGCGACCACATTTCACCAAAATTTCTCGGCGCCATATAGAGAACTAGAGCCTGTGAGGTACTGATACTATCCATGTACCTCGCAGGCTCTAGTTCCAAGCCAAAATGGCTAAAAATTGCCCGCAATGTGAACAATTGCGGGCAATTTTTAGCCATTTTGGCTGGGAATTGGAGGGTGAGAGTAGTATTGTATGAAATAATATCTCTCACCCTCCAATTCATCCAAAGGCGAATATTTTCTACATTTCCATAACATTCATTTCAACGGAAACTCATTCAAAATTCTATATATTTAATTTTTCAATCTTATTCAATTTCATATTCAAAATTAATTTGAATTACATTCAAAACATTTATACCTGATTAATAACATGATATCATTTGTTACCAATATACCAATTCGGCTGTTCTAATTTTGGATTCCCATTCATAAATTGATCAATCTATATTGAAACCTATTCAAATTATTTTCTTATTGATAACATTTTATTTTTATTTGTCTTCAACTATTCATTTATTTTATCATTATTTTTCGATTTTTTTAGTTTCAAATTTTTTATTATCTTTATTGTTTTTTATTTTTCTAATTTTTAAAAATTTCTGCTTAGAATCTGAATCTCATTTTATTTTTCAATAAAAATTCATGTTTACCAATATTCAATCACTTTTCTCGTTCCCCAAATTTTTATTTTATCTTAATCGTTACTGATTTCTAACACATTCTTTTATAAAAATTATTCTGATCGTAATTTTAATTTCGCCATTGTAGTTATTCACTAATTTTTAGTTCATTGTTGTTTTCTCATTGTCCAATTTTATTTTCTTCACTTTAAAGATTTTTTTAAAAAATTTACAATTTGAATTCAACTTTTGTGAAAAATATTTTTTCAATAATATCTTTCAAAATTATTTATATTTTCTATATTTTATTCAATTGTTCACAATTTATTATTTATTCAAAATTCATTCTCTTGGATATTTATACCCAAATAGACTTTCACTGGCTAGAGCAATCTCTAACCAGGTTACACTGTTGTAAACAGAAATTCATCAAAAGTGACACCTCAGAAAAGCTAAAATATTGAATTTTTGGAACTTTTGATAGAGCACGTTTTTAAATATTAATTAAAGTAAGTGTATATTATGTAAAGATTCTTTTTAATAAAAAAATAAAATTTTGAAGAAGAACACAAAATCTTCTGAAAAATAATATCACATAAACTCATATTATTTTCTAATATATAACTATTTTATATAAAAATCAAATTCAATGATCTTAAAAGCGAAGGATAAACCTCAAAATTTACGAATATAATGAGTGGGAATATAATGCTTATCTATCATAAAACCATATGAAATATCAATTTTTGCTTTACGCCTAATTTTTGACGACAATTAGCAAAAAATGTTAAATGTTAACACTCAGTCCATTTGAATATGAAAAATAAAATTGACTTTGATTAAATGTTTTTATTTATCATGCAATTCTTCTTGCGACCAAAGATTTGAATAAAAGTTCAAAAAATAAGATAGCTTAAAAAATAATATACGGTAGTGTTTACTAATAGATGAATAGTATATAAATTCTATTAAAATGGATTTGATCCAAAAAAATATATAAAATTTGATCATAAATAAAATCGTTTTAAATTACTTCTTCATTTAAATTATAACAATTATTTTTGGTTTTATATTTTTTTGGATCAAATCCATTTTAATAGAATTTATATACTATTCATCTATTAGTAAACACTACCGTATATTATTTTTTAAGCTATCTTATTTTTTGAAATTTTATTCAAATCTTTGGTCGCAAGAAGAATTGCATGATAAATAAAAACATTTAATCAAAGTCAATTTTATTTTTCATATTCAAATGGACTGAGTGTTAACATTTAACATTTTTTGCTAATTGTCGTCAAAAATTAGGCGTAAAGCAAAAATTGATATTTCATATGGTTTTATGATAGATAAGCATTATATTCCCACTCATTATATTCGTAAATTTTGAGGTTTATCCTTCGCTTTTAAGATCATTGAATTTGATTTTTATATAAAATAGTTATATATTAGAAAATAATATGAGTTTATGTGATATTATTTTTCAGAAGATTTCATTCTATATGCCTATGAAAAGTACTCTCAAAACTAACTTTTTCCTAATTATAATTAAATCTAGAATATTGTATTATGCTTAGTATTATTTCATTTTTCTCATTCAATTTAGAATTTACAAATGTTAAAAAAATTGAGAGCTGTCACTTTTGATGAATTTCTGTTTATTACAACACCAACATCAAAAGCTATCGTTGCTATTGACTAATGTTCCACTCAGCGATGGTACATCACGTAATTGCATTAACAAGTTAACTTACTACAAAAGCCTTCTGTGCTTTCGTCTTATTACTATCGAAGAGTTTTACAAGCACTCGTCCAGAGAATTTACAAGTTTATACATATTCCATAATGGAAAATTCTACAATTGCATTGAAGTCTTACCAACAAAAGATGAGATCTTGTTGAATCGATACTTGGAAGAACAAGAAATTACACAGAGTAATGGTTCTACTCCTCTTAATAGCGCACAACAACAGCTCAGACCCAGCAATGGTACATCTCCTCTTAGTAGTGCACAACAACAGCTCAGACCCAGCAATGGTACATCTCCTCTTAGTAGTGCACAACAACAGCTCAGACCCAGCAATGGTACATCTCCTCTTAGTAGTGCACAACAACAGCTCAGACCGAGTATATAAGAATTTCCGAAAAGTGACACCCAAAAGTGACACTTTCAATAGGGGGTAACACTTAAAAAGTGACAATTTAAAATTCACAATAAATAAAAATAATAAATTTTTTAGTCTATTAAATTATTCTTTTCTTTGAAATCCTCCAAAAATTCTTCGAAATGTTCTAAAATATAACCTGGAGAATTATAACAAAATTCATTAATTTCTAACATATACGTATCTAACAATTCATTTGGAATTTCAAACGATCTTAAATATGTAATTGAATTTTGTATCTTCTCATTTATTTGAGAAAGTTTTTCTTCAGCATTTTCCAATAAAAATCTTAATGGATTCAAATTGGCTTCTTGATTCTGAACAAAATTTAATACTTGGTATAAACGTGATTGAACTTCTCTTTTCAATTTTGTTTTATAATCTGTCAATCGAGGCTCGCGAATTCTAATTGAAGGAATAAAACCTGTTTGAAGTAAATCGTTTTTAATACGATAAAAGTAATTGGGTGCAACTTCTTCTAAAAGATTTTTGACAAAAACATCAATTCTTTGATTTTTAACGCAGCCAAAATCGTGATATTTTATCTTTTTAAATAAAGATTCAGAAACGTTATTCACAACGGTTAATTCATTTGGTCTGGCAGCGGCTATCTACTGTTGTTTATGAATGTCCCACTGACGTGTAAAGTATTGATTAAATTCCAATTGATCTTGAATTTTATCAATAATGTGCTCTTTATACATTTTTGCAGCATCTTCTTCTGTGCAATCACGATAATAACATAAAATGTTCATAAATTTTTCGACTTCTGATCTAATCTCTTCATCATTTATCTTTGAGAGATTCTTTTTAAGTGCGCGTATTACATGTAGCGCGCACCAAAAGATATTGCACTCCGGAAATGAATTCCTAATCCCCTTGAAATGTTTAGTGCACAGTCAGTACATGATAAATTCAGGTTCTGTGTGAGTTGTTTCAAAATATTTACTTAAGCAAAAAGAAATATTTTCACTATTATCTGGATATATTATAAAATAACACAAAGGGATAGAATGAGTATTAGCAAATTTGGTAGCTAATACATAAAAAGGAAATCCATGAATAATTAATTTAAACGTAGAGTCTAAGTGATAAATTGGTGGTTTTTCATGAATTTGAGAGATCATATCATTATCAGAGTAAATAAAAACCAATTTGTCTGGAAAATCAGTATCTTCACCTTGAATGTCAAAATAAATAAGGTCATCATGTTGATCTTCCCATTGATTAACATAGTTTTGTAAAGATTGAAATTGATTTAAAGATATGTCTGGTAAAGATCTCATAAGATCTTTTTGTTGTAAATAATATTTCAATTGATTGATTGCAGTTTGTTTCATAGTCATGTGAATACAAGTATGATCTTTAGGTATTTCAAGCGTTTTGTTGACTTCTTGTGTTGCATTAAGTGGACTTCCGTGATTCATGAGAAATTTTTTAATCCAAGCACGGTAAGTACCACTTGTAGGTGTATTTTTATGTTGTGGTGGTGGTCCTGAGTGAATATGAGTTAAGTTTGCAGATTTAAAAATGTAATTGTCGAAATTTTTAATAAATTTAAAGCCTGCTGGGCAGCCTTCGTATTCGCATCGGTGGTAGATTAATACTCCTGTTCCAATTGATAGTTTTTGTGGGTCTTTGACAAATCTTATGTTACCATGCAGCTCTGCAGCTATAACAAAACGAGAATATTCTAAATATCCTATGGCTTGATCAACCTCGCATGGAGGATCGGGTGGAGGATGTTGCATTGAGCAGCAAAAGGGAAAAATAAAATTGAAAACTCACATTGAAAAATAACGGTTTAATAGAAAATATTTTTGAGTATCTAAATTGGGATAAAGGATATAGAATAGATAACTAGTACTTAATATATGATACATGTACACGAAATGGAAGAATGTGTACTAAAAGAAAGAGAAATTTTAGCTTAATATTTTACATACGAATCAATTATCTTTGGTTAAAAGGTAGAATTGTTGGCTATGATGTACTGATTCATGATCAGTACATCATAGCCAACAATTCCTTATACAAAATTCAAAAACTTGGGTGCAATCAGTTCTGATTGCACCCAAGTTTTTGAACTTTCTTGAGGGAATTAAAGGGTGAGAGATTTATAGTCTATCTATATATCTCCCACCCTCTAATTCCCTCCCTGACAGCGGGAAACTTTGTCTGAATGTTAAACTATTCAGACAAAGTTTCCCACTGTTTGCGAAGGAATTGTTGGCTATGATGTACTGATTCATGATCAGTACATCATAGCCAACAATTCCTTATATAAAGTTCAAAAACTTGGGTGCAATCAGAACTGATTGCACCCAAGTTTTTGAACTTTCTTGAGGGAATGGAAGAGTAAGAGGTATACATTATGAATATATACCTCTTACCCTTCCATTCCTCTCTGACAGCGGAAACTTTGTCTGAATGTTAAACTATTCAGACAAAGTTTCCCGCTGTCAGCGAAAGAATTGTTCCATCTGGTGCATAGAGTGTGAATCTATGCACCAAATGGAGCAAGTCCCTCGCGAAATTGCCAAAACTTGCGTCGCATTTCAAAGATTGCGACCCAAATTTTGGCGATTTCTAGTAGAGATGGAGTATTTTGAGTCACTGACCTATATGCAGTGGCTCAAAGGGCTCCATCTCTACTTTGAAGCAAGGAAACTTTCCTCGAAATTTTGATAATTTGAAGAAAGTTTTCAAGCAATTAACAAAGGATTACTCGCTATGAGGTAAAAATTCTAGATTTTCACCTCATAGCGAGAGCTTCCCTTTCATTGCTTGAAAACTTTCCCCAGCTTCAAAATTGGGGAAAGGGCTGTAAAGTCGACTCCGATACCAGCAGGTACCAGAGTATTTAAAAGAGAAGCCCTCGTACGAGTTTCTATGAAGACCTTCTCATTCAAGAAGATCTTAATAGAAAATCGTACGAGGGCATTGGAAACTCGCGTCTGGTACATGTTGGTACCAGAGTGTTTGAGATTTGAAGACTCTGGTACTAACATGTACCAGAATTTATGATGAATTTAAGATGGACCATTATAAAATGGTAGGGGTTTGTTTCAAAAAAATTTAGATGAGATTTGCATAGATATAGATTATATGATTTATACATATGAAAAATAATATATAAAAATATAATTTTGAGATAATTATGTAAATAATATTTTAAATATTTGAATTTGAGGTATAATTTTATAGTAAAATATATTATAAAGAGTATTTATATAAATATTGTAAAATAATATAAGTAATAAAAATTGAGACCCCCTCCCTGTTTTTGATGTTTTGTCACTTTTTCGGTAATTCTTATTGTTTCCAGCTCAGACCCAGCAATGGTACATCTCCTCTTAGTAGTGCACAACAACAGCTCAGACCCAGCAATGGTACATCTCCTCTTAGTAGTGCACAACAACAGCTCAGACCCAGCAATGGTACATCTCCTCTTAGTAGTGCACAACAACAGCTCAGACCCAGCAATGGTACATCTCCTCTTAGTAGTGCACAACAACAGCTCAGACCCAGCAATGGTACATCTCCTCTTAGTAGTGCACAACAACAGCTCAGACCCAGCAATGGTACATCTCTCTTAGTAGTGCACAACAACAGCTCAGACCCAGCAATGGTACATCTCCTCTTAGTAGTGCACAACAACAGCTCAGACCCAGCAATGGTACATCTCCTCTTAGTAGTGCACAACAACAGCTCAGACCCAGCAATGGTACATCTCCTCTTAGTAGTGCACAACAACAGCTCAGACCCAGCAATGGTACATCTCCTCTTAATAGTGCACAACAACAGCTCAGACCCAGCAATGGTACATCTCCTCTTAGTAGTGCACAACAACAGCTCAGACCCAGCAATGGTACATCTCCTCTTAGTAGTGCACAACAACAGCTCAGACCCAGCAATGGTACATCTCCTCTTAGTAGTGCACAACAACAGCTCAGACCCAGCAATGGTACATCTCCTCTTAATAGTGCACAACAACAGCTCAGACCCAGCAATGGTACATCTCCTCTTAGTAGTGCACAACAACAGCTCAGACCCAGCAATGGTACATCTCCTCTTAGTAGTGCACAACAACAGCTCAGACCCAGCAATGGTACATCTCCTCTTAGTAGTGCACAACAACAGCTCAGACCCAGCAATGGTACATCTCCTCTTAGTAGTGCACAACAACAGCTCAGACCCAGCAATGGTACATCTCCTCTTAATAGTGCACAACAACAGCTCAGACCCAGCAATGGTACATCTCCTCTTAGTAGTGCACAACAACAGCTCAGACCCAGCAATGGTACATCTCCTCTTAGTAGTGCACAACAACAGCTCAGACCCAGCAATGGTACATCTCCTCTTAGTAGTGCACAACAACAGCTCAGACCCAGCAATGGTACATCTCCTCTTAATAGTGCACAACAGTTAAATCCTCAAGCCACTCCTTCAAACCAATCATCTGGTACATACAATCAAATTGCTCCTAATCCCATCAGTTCCGATCAATCAAGTCAACGTGCTAATCCTCCTAATCCTCAATCTCGTCCGCACGACCAGTTGGTTGATATTCCACTTTCCCGTGGTAGACCCAAACAACCAGTTCCTGATGATCTCATGCAGGCCATTCTCAATTTATTCGAACAACATGGGCGACATGGTATCATCCCCACTTACCTTAGGCTTAATAAAGATATAGCATTCGCCCATGAGCATGAACAAGATTTTGTTCGAATGAAAGATGGCCTGCTTCCAGTTATGAGCTCAACACAGGACTGGTTTCAGAATGTGCTACGTGACAAGCCTCTCAATCTTATCTCTAAAGAAATCTCCGCTGACATTAATCAAGATGATAACCCTACTCCATATGCTATAAATTTACAAAATATCAAATATCTTCCTCTCCCTCTACCTCAGGCTCCATCAAGGCATATGGTCGAAAAGGCTTTTATCATTCTTGGATTAACACGTCCACGGGGACCCAAGAGACCTAAAGGGAGGACAAGATACGAGGCTTTACTTCCAAATCAAATCTGGCACGTTGACATTCACTTTCTCAATAAACGCAGAAGTGAATTATTGTATGGAGTAATAGATGATTGTACCAGAATGGTTTTGGAGTGGCAGCATCTCTCCTCCAAACATGCAAATCAGACCGTTAAGGTAATTGAGCGGGCCATAAAACGTTTTGGTCCCCCTCATACCATATGGTCTGATAATGGAGGAGAGAATAGAGGTGAATTCCTACAAGCGATGAGATGCAAAGGAATTCGAAATGTCTATATTGTGCCACATTGCCCTTACCAAAACGGTAAGATTGAGCGATTGTGGCCCAATATAGAAAACCGCAATCTAACATGGAGTAAAATTCAGAGTTGGGTCAATTCCTATAACTCCAAGCCCCATGCCGCACTACCGACACGTCTTCTCAATGGAAGGAAAATCAATTATACTCCAAATGAATTATGGATGAAGGGGCCCATTTGGAGACCAGGAATGTCTGCCAAATGGGTCGTTGATGGAGTTACCCAAGACTTTCTCCCAGGATCAGTACAGGCTAGAGAAATACCAGAACTCCAAGATGAGGAAGAAGAAATCGATAATAAAGATGGTAAAAAAGAGAAGGAGGGACAAAGTGAAGAATATGAAGGTGGATATGAAGAAGAATATGAAATAAATTATGAAGAAGATAATGATGAATAAAATGTCACTTTTTATATTTTTGACATGTAAAGTTGTCGCTTTTCTGTCAAGCCGTTTTTATCGTTTTCGTATATAACACAAATGGGGGACCTTTGGGCATTTGCATACATCATTACACCCAAAGGCCTCATGTTTGCTAGGAACAGTATCAATAGCAGAGAATTCCCTCCCCCAACAAGCGGCTACGTGAAGATGTTCCACTACCGGCAGAAAGAGGAAGACCCGATAGAAGATGTCAGGGAAATCTTCATGGGAGACGCCGCCGCTGAAGCAGAAGGAAACACCGAACCACCAGCACCCTCGTTGAAGCACAATTGGCCAGCCCAGGATCTTAATAGATTCAATGAAGATCTTCATGAGCAGGAAGAAGTTCATGAGAGTAATGATGATACTGAGGGTGAAGAGCTCTGTGATTCTCCGATGGTTGATGCTGCAATTAGCTGGTTCACAAGCGAACTCAAAAAAAGAGGACGTAGTGATGATGTGATTGATGATATAGTTAAACTATTTAAAGATATGATTGCCAATAACAATCATATCTTTAAAACATCAAGAACTGTAAGTTGCTTGGACATTTTTGATTTTAATTTTAAAATCAATGATGAAAATTGGGGATTGTTCGCAAATATATGCCTCCGCATAACTTGCTGCACTTGTGCGGAGGCAAGCTGTGAAAGAACAATCTCAGCCCAGCGTCTCATCTTAACTTGTTCAAATTTAAACATGAGTAAGGAATTAATGGACGCTAGGCTAAAGATCATGAAGGGAGCTAGTTGGAAAACATAGTTGCTCTTGTTTTTGTAAAAATTATAAAATATTTTTTTTAAATTTGTTTCGTACCGAAATGGCTAACAAAAAAGTGACAGAAAACCTTAAATTGCGCGGCAATTTTAATTAAAAAAATAAACATTAATTTTTGTGATTGATATTATGCATTTTATTTATATTATATAAGATTTAAATTTAGGGGAAAAATTGGGAAAAAATAAGATTGGAAGTCTTTAGGTAAGAAGGAAAGGGCAAGAGATATATAGTGTACCTATATACCTCTTGCCCTTTCATTCTAAGTAGAAATGGGAGAAACTTTGTCCGCATCATAAGTTATGCGGACAAAGTTTCTCCGATTTCTAATGGGAATTGCAGGCTATGAGGCACTGATATATAATCAGTACCTCATAGCCTACAATTCCCCTTATTAGACTTCCAAACTTTGAGTTAATGTCTTGACATTAACTCAAAGTTTGGAAAACTTCTCGTAAGAATCAATCGTCAAAAACCTCGATTGCAGTTATATTCATTGTGTTAAATTTGATTTATTTTGAAATTTTTATAAATTAAATTTTATATAACATAAAGCGTTATGAATTAGTATTTCCATATGAATTTTATCTCGAAAATAGTAATTCTGTACAGTTATATTTCGGTTAATTTTGGAAATTTCTAGGAATACTTTAAGATAGTATGATTATATATAACTCTGCCTTCATGATTTATTTTAGCTTTCGCGCAAATATCAGTTAACTTAACTCCATTATTTGATTTTGTGATGGCTTCACAAAGCCAATCAATATCAATCTCTTCTGGAGAATGTCTTCTCATCTAGAATAATTTCAATACTTTACATACAAACATTTTTATTTCTAAAAAACTTTTTAATTTTTTCTAGGATATATGAATGAAAATAGTTAGAACAAGATTTTGAAGCTCAAAACATTAAAAATTATTAAAGATTTGTATAATATGATTAAAAATGGGAAATAATATGAGGCAATATAAAGGAATATGAATATTAAATAAATATATCTAAATAGAAAGAATCAGAAAAATCAAATTATTGGCGCCAAAAATGTCACCTTTTTGGTGAGCCATTTCGGTATGAGATAATATTTTTTTAAATTGTATATACTTGTATGTTTATTCGAAATGCACTGAGGTGGCCAGCCTCAGTGCATAGGTGTTTTTGTATTCATTCTTCGTTTTGAACGATTTTGTAATTTGATTTTGTTTTCGCATTTAACTTTGTTATGTATTGTATTGATTAGTGATACTATCCTATGTATTTCCAACTAGAATATGGTTGGCCAGACCATATTAGGACCATACATAGGATATGCATCAACTAATTTTAAACCAATTGTGAATTCCATTGAAGGCCATTCAATGGAATTCACAATTGGTTTAAGTGTTGCAGTAAGCAACACTACAATTAAAGAAATGAAGTGTTTTAAAGAAGAATAAATATGATTTTATTCATTAAAATTGAAAGGATAATAATTCAGAAATTTTGAAAGAAAGACGGCTTTTTTAATTGAGTGATCTGAAATATAATCAATAAATATTATCAAATTAAAATAAATAAGAGAATTATATAAAAATATGTTTTTATTTTGAATAAGAATTCAAAAAATGGTTAAAAGTAAATTGTGGTTGAGTAGTGATCCAACTGCTCTACCTTAGAGTATTTCTCCTTTGATTAATCCTCCTTAGATTAATCCTCCTCAGGTTATCCTCAGATTATCCTCGAACTACTCCTCAGATTATCCTCAGACGAGTCCTCAGATTATCCTCGAACTACTCCTCAGATTATCCTCAGACTACTCCTCAGATTATCCTCGAACTACTCCTCAGATTATCCTCAGACTACTCCTCAGATTATCCTCAGACTACTCCTCAGATTATCCTCAGATTATCCTCAGACTACTCCTCAGACTAGTCCTCAGATTATCCTCAGACTACTCCTCAGATTATCCTCAGATTATTCTCAGATTATCCTTAGACTTGTCCTCAGATTATTCTTAACACATTGCATATAAATCTCTAAATAATTTCTTATAATACTTTCTTTTATTTTTATAAAAATTTTAAAAATTAATATTATTTTTTTCTCTTACTACTTTTAATGAGTGAAAAAGAGAAAGAGGGGGAAAAAGAGAAAAGAGAAAGAAAAAAAAGAGGAAAAAAAAGGGCGGCGATAATTTTATATTGTTTTGTCTTTCGGCCGAATGGCGGCTACTTCGTACCCGCCATTCGGCCCCAAAAATGGCGTATTATTCTATTTTTAAACGGTCATGGCGTAAAACCGTCGCATCCCTAATTCAAGTTCTGCTCGAGCTTTAACGGAATCGAAATCGTTATTAATTAATGACTCAAGAACTTTTTCCTTTTGTTGTTCAAAGTCTTTAACTAAAGCATCATATTTTTCCTTCTGTTGGCGAGACAACTGCTCAAGTTCTGCATCAAAATCGGATTCTGGCATAGTTAGTCGATTAATCATGATGTAATCATCTACATCTACACTTTGAAAAATGGAAAATTTGGAAACTAAAATCAACATGATTCATTTTAAGATCAATTTTTCATTGAAATTTGAATTTTAGAATGCAAAACGAAACTAAATTTGAATAACAATTTGGTGCAAGAAACCTTCGAATGAATTTGACGTATAATCAACATTTTTTGCAATATCGTCTAGAATAGCTAGACTATATGTTGAAATACATGTATGACTGCTTGGATCAATGATTTCTTGAGTTATCTGGCATGTGGGAAAGTTGCCGTTTAAAAATGATTTATCTAAGACTTTAATTTCATTCTCTTTAAAGTGAACTTGATATCAATCTAAATTTTCTTATAAAATTATATCCAAATGTTAAATAATAAATTAATTGAAATCAAATATTGAGATTCGCTAGTTCTATCTATATCTTTTACTCATATAGTAGCAATAAATAATGATTGTCTTATACATTAATGTTAAATCAATATTTTTATCATTAATGTCCCAAAAAAGTTCCTCAAATCTGAAATTAGTCAACAATATTATACAAACATGTTTTATTCTTATGTTCATGAATACAGTATGCTTTATCTCTTTGGATAGGAATCAATCATGAAAATAATCGATTTTAATTCAAACAATATTTTTATAAAATATTAATTAGAATAATATGCAATACTTAAATAGAGAAAATTTTCATTCACAAATTTTTCTGAGCCGATCTTAAGATTTTGAGAGTACTATAAAAAACAATAACGATAGCCTTTGTTTGGCCGGATTTGGATTTTTAGTGGTTGAAATTATATAATCTTGAATATATTGATATGCACTAAATACTGTTAATATATGCATTTATGTCATTTGGGAGATAATTTTTCTCTCAAAAAGTATTCAAAATCTTAAAATTTTGGTCATGACAATTCTCACAAAATATGATAAATTACATTAAATTGAATTTAGTAACAATGTTGTTACTCAAAGTAAACCTTATTGATTCATCCATATCTTCCGATTAACTCAAATTTCCTGGGATAATAGTGGAACTGAGTATTCAAAAGACTCCAGAGTGTTAATCAGAGTTCCATATAATTTACAACACTTTGTAATCTCAGCACAGTGCGAATATATATCAAATGAATGTTGTAATGGTCGTACATCTTTAATCTCTTTTTCTTTTGAAGAAAATTCTAACTTAACAACAATCGGAACGAGTAGCTTTGAAGGATGTACTAGTCTTACAATTATTAATTTATCATCATGCCACAGGCTCACAAAGATAGGTAAAAAAGCATTTTATAATTGTTCTGAAGTTAGTGAAATATTGTTACCAAAAGGACTTCTTGAAATAGATTCTGAGGCTTTTTCTCAGAATCGGTTAATTAAAAATATTCTGATTCCAGCATCCGTCGAAATAATTGGTAATAGTACATTCTTTAGATGTAATTCTCTTGAAAATGTTATTTTTGAAGAAGGTTCCAATTTAACATCTTTGGAAAGAGATGTATTCGCTATGACGAATATTAAATCTTTTCAAATTCCGGAAAAAGTAAACTATATATGGGATTTTTCATTTGCTTTTTTCAGATTAACAAATATTTCAATTCATGAAAGAAACAATAATTTTTGTATTTTAGATAATGTTATTTTTTCCAAAAATAAGTCTATTTTATTGTTTAATATAAATTTATCGAGGAAATCATATGATATACCATTTTTGTTACCACTTTAGCAATGGAATGCTTTGCACATTCAAACATTACAAATATTACTATTCCTACAAATGTGAAAATAATTGAACATTATGCTTTCTTTTATTGTCTTTATTTGATAAATGTTACTATTTTAAGTCCATTAGATCATATTGGTTCTCGTGCATTTGCAAATTGTCCCAATCTTGAAAGAGTTGTTTTCCCTAATTCATCAATGACTGTTAAATCAAAAACCCTAATTACCAGAGATACACCAAAAGTAAAATTATATTTTACTTGTAAAACACTATTTACACAAAAAGCAGTTGATAATATAGTCAACGTATCAATTTCATATCTTGATATCTATATGCCAAACCTTATTATTAATCAACTATCATTGATTATGGATCTTAAACAAACGATAATATTAGAATTTTGGGGATATTCAATAGATAATATTACAATTCCAAATTCAGTAACAATGATCAATGGAAGAGCTTTCGAAAATTCAACAATTCGTGAGGTTTTATTTGAAGAAAATTCTAGTATTCGTGAGATTTTTCATCATGCTTTTCAAAATTGTCATTTTCTGAAATTGTTTATAGTTTCTTCTCCAACTTCACTATTTATTGGTAATACAGCATTTAAAAATTGTTTTAATTTGTCTTCGGTCAAATTTGAATCAAGTAATATAACATTCTCAAATAATGTATTTGAAAATTGTTTTAAATTAAATGAAATGATAAATATAACTAACCCTCCTTATGCTTGCTTCTTTAATTGTAAACAATTGAGTCATGTCAATATTCTTGAAGGATCTACTCAAATTGATGTTTATGCATTTTACAACTGCATATCACTGTCCAGCTTGACTATTCCATCAAGTATTCAAGTTATCAGTCATTCTGCAATCTGTAAATGCTTAAATCTTAGAAGTATAACTTTCGCAGCTAAAAATAATCTTGAAAGCATATCAGGCAAATCATTTAGTGATTGTTCTTCCCTTAGTAGCATTAGTAATTTTTATTCAAATTATTACCAATGCATCAATAATACTATATATGACAAAAGGGATAACAATATTAAACTTATCTTTTATGCCCCAATACACCAGAACAAACTCTCTATCTCAATTGTAGTACAATATGTAGTTTTTCATTTTCTAAATGTAATAATATTGTGAATATCACAATATTGCCATATAGCGTTTCTTTCATTCAAAAATATGCGTTCTTTTACTGTTTGAACCTTAAATACATCAACTTCCCAATCTCAGTTAAGAGTGTTGATGAATATGCATTCGTTAAATGCAAATCTATTCGATGTCCAACTATTGAGAATACGATAGTTGATTACATTAGCATGCTTGTAAAATCAGGAATTCGGCATAAATATATTTATATAAATAATAGTATTTCATGTGAAGATATCGAAATAACTCATAATATCAAACCTCAAATCATGATTAATGGTCGTTACAAAGACATTCGAAAGCGCTAAAAATAATTATAATATTTATAATAAAACACTCATTATACAATCATATCTCTTTCTTTTTAATAATCATTTATATAATAATTAAACTAGTGTCCTATATCCAATATCCTGATCACTTTCATTATGATAAATGTGTATGACTTTCAATGTTTAGAAAGGATTAAGCAAAACGGAGTATAGAAATCATATAAAATATTATATAGAATAATTGTAATAGTATTAAAATAGACTTCTTTTAGTTGGAATAGTTATGTTTAGAAGTTGTGAAAAAAAGAAATTTGATTATTTAATTTATAAAACATTTGTTTTTATTTAATGAGATTCAAGTTCTGCTCGAGCTTTAACGGAATCGAAATCGTTATTAATTAATGACTCAAGAACTTTTTCCTTTTGTTGTTCAAAGTCTTTAACTAAAGCATCATATTTTTCCTTCTGTTGGCGAGACAACTGCTCAAGTTCTGCATCAAAATCGGATTCTGGCATAGTTAAATCATGGAGAGGAACACCAAGCATGGATGCGATATTAAAAACAACGTGTGCAGAGTTTGCAAGGTAAACTGGCTGTGATAATTGTTCCTGCTTCAAGAACACTGATGTAGCTAATGGATTCCTACGAAGAATTTCCGAAACTTCGCAAGTAAGTTCCATGTTATTTGTAATTTCGTTTGCTGGATCGTAAATTTCTCGCAAATGGAGTGGCTTAATAACACTTTCCTCTAACTGTTGTAAATCGTTCGCTGGTTGTGGTCTTGGCTGATTTTGTTGGAACTGTGGTGGAATTGGTGATGGTCTTGGGACTGGTTGTGGTGCTGGCTGCGCAGGCAATGGAGCTGGTCTTGGTGGTGCCTGAACTGGCTGTGGTTGTGGAGCTGGTTTAGCTTCGGCTGGCTTAGACTCAGCTGGTGCTGATTCTGACGCCTTAATATATAAGAAAATCTTGGATCCTTCTGGAATTCCTTGGAGTGGTGCAGTTGTGTTTCCAATAACTTTTCCTTTGAAAATGAATTTGTAAGTTCCGTCCTTGTATCCATACTGTTTAACAAGTACATCTTTAAGTGCATCATGAGAAAGTGTTGGATCTACATCAACCTCCTTAACATTTTGCTGAAGAGTGAATAAGAACTTCATTAATTCTGACAAGTGGAAATTTTTCTGAACTTTACTTCGTGAAAATTTTTGCTATTTGAACAATTAGTAATGGAATCTCATTTTGCTATCACTAAGTATATCATACTGTAAACATTTAATATGGCTTAATAAAATCGACTTTCCTACTGATATACAGCGAAATGAAATCAATTTTGTCGATTTCTATGGAATAAAGCGATAAATATATTAACTAAGTGAATATAATTGATATTTATATTCCTGGGTGCTTCAATTATAGCATCTCAAAATTGAGTTTTCCATTTCTGATTCAACTATGAAAATCTCTCATGGTTTTAATTTACTAGGAATCTGCCATCTTATATTTTTTACAAATTAGCAATTTAGGCTTGAAGAGATAATGTTCTATTAATTGAAGGGAAAAGTTAGTCCAAATCTTAACTATTCAAATCTTAGACACTACTAATTAGAAGTGGGGCACTGATAAATCGATAGATATCGGCGCCTTAGAAAAATATAGTTATTTCATCTTGGAATACTGACCATTATTGTGTGAATGTTAAATGTCAAATTAGAAGAGTTAGAATTTATTCAAAATTCAAAAGAATATCGAAAATTATAATAATAAAATGAATAATTACACAAAACATCTTCAGATCTTTGTAGCTTCATTCTGGAAGTAGTGAAGCCTATCAAGGTCCTCCTTAGCATGTGCCACCACCTGCTTAAGGGATTCTTCTGTAAAGTCTGAATCATCAAAGCCGTAAACTGAGCCAAGTTGCTCGCAGACAATGTTCAAAAGATTCTTTAATTTCTTCTCTTCCTGAGCTCTGACTTCATTTGTAGCTGTCTGAACCTTTGTTTCGCAAGCCATCATCTTAGCTGCTAATTGAACCTGTAATTGCTGCTTTTCCTTCTGAATCTGGGACTTCAATTGCTGTAACTGTGCACTTAAGTTCTTCTTTTCAAGAAGTAAAGCTGCATTATCTGAAGATAATTTCTGGTTCTTCTGTTCATTATCCTGTGATTGTTCCTGTAACTTCTTTGTCATCTCTCTGGCTTCATCGCTCTTAGCCTTCAAGTCTTCAATTGTCTTGTTGAGAGCTTCCTTTCCTTCTTCATAGCGAACAGCCATCTCCTTTAATTGATGATCATACTGTTCTCTGAGTGTCTTTTCTGTCTTCTTGGCCTTCCTCTTCTTGGCTTCGAGCTGCTCCTCGAGCATTTCCATTTGTTCTTGCATCTCAAGCAACTGCTTCTTCAATGTCTCTTCGTTCTTGGCGAATCTCTTGTTCTGCTTCTTTGTTGTTTCATCAAGAGTTATCTGAAGCTTCTTGATCAAGTTTGTCAAGTCTGCGCATTCTTTAGTCTTCTGTTGGAGAAGGGATTCAAGCTTGTCTGTCTTCTCCTTGGCTTCGCTCTGTTGGACATCGACTTCCTCCTTGAGCTTCTGAGCAAACTGGTTGAGGTTTTCTTCGTTCTTCTTAAGGAGAAGTTCATTGTTTGCAACTTGATACTTGACCTTGAGAACTTCATTCTCTGATGTGAGAGATTCGTTCTGGATTTGAAGCTGTGAGACCTTTGTCTTTAAGTCGTTCTCAGACTTAGATAATGTCTGGACATCATGTTGAGCCTTCTTCAAGTAGTTGTGAACCTGTGTTCTCTGCTTCTTGAGCTTCTCAATCTTGGCCTGTAATCCCTGGATAAGCATTGGGATATCGGAGATATCATGGCCGTTGATGACATCAAGTCTTGAGATTTCTTCCATCTGGCCAAGTGGTCCCATAAGAGCGTTAAGCTGGTTAGATAACAATATGTTTGTTAAGAATGATGCTGTAAGGATTGAACCAGTCATGTCGTTCTGCTTGAGGATGTCCTGGATAACTTCCTTACGCTTGTTGAAATCTGTTGTTGTGAAGAAATCGGATGGGATGAATCTTGGATCAGCAAGAAGTTCTTCCTTGATGAGTGGTTCGATTTCAGCTGATTTCTGAGCCATGAACTCGATGAATGCTGTATCAACCTTGCAATACTGAGCATTGTTGATCTGAGATTCCATGGATGAGATGTTCTTGAGCTCCTTGAGAAGAGCATCAAGGATCTGGCAGTATGGTGTCTGTCCATCAACAGCAGCAGATAACTGGTTGCGAAGTTCTTCAACTTCCTGAACCTTGAGAGCAGCAACATTCTCAGCTTCAGCAAGGCGCTTAGCAGCTTCGTTGATAACGAGCTGAGCACGTTGTACTGGCTGATATTGCTGGAGTTTGAGGTATTCTGCAGCCTTCTCACCCATTTCACCTTCGAATGGCATAGTCAAGGCAGCAACATCGTTGGTTGCTGGAACTGCCTTAGCAGCCTTCTTAGCCTGAATCTTGAGCTTGTTGTTTAAGCTGTCGTTCTCCTGTGTAAGCTTTGCGATATGCTGTTCAGCGATCTGAAGTCCATTATGCATCTTCTGAACAAGGCCGATGATATTATCACGCTCTGAGTTCATCTGAATAAGTTCCTCGCGCTGGGAGTCAAGATCCTCTTCGAAGCCGTTTATTATATGTTGTTTTGCCTCGAGTTCCTTCTTCAAAAGATTAATAGAAGCTTCTGATTCTTCCTTGCCTGCTTGGGCTGCCTGAATTTGGGCCTTGAGAGCTTGAATTGTTTGCTCAAGAGCTTTCTTATCATTTTGTGCGTTTGTAATCTGAACCTGGAGCTGAGCATTTTCTGTTTCAAGAGCCTGAATCTTATCGCCGAGTGTTGCAAACTTTGTGCGAAGTTTCTTCTTAGCTGTCTTTGTTTCTTCGATTTCCATTGCGCAATTCTCAAGCAATGTATCTTTTTCTTCAACTTGAGACTTAAGCTGTTGTCTCTCCTTGCGTAACTTGTTGTATTTATCAGCTTCTGCTGTAAGCTGAGCCTTCAAATTATCTCTCTCAGCTGTAACAGCCTGAATATCTTCTTGGTGCTTTGCCTCTGCTTCCTTAGCTGATGTTGTTGCGGCGTTAAGCTCCTTTGTCAGATTCTTCTCCTTTTCTTTATATTCTGCCAATTGGTTCTTAAGCTCTGTAATTGTGTTATTCATTGTGCCAATGCTTGCTGTAGCATCCATGGCTTCCTTTAATTGAGCCTTTAATGAATCAATTGAGTTTTGAAGTTGTGTATTAACTTCTGTTAAGTGATCTAATTCGAGTTGCTTTTGCTTCATAGCGACTTTATCTCCTCCGGTTGATGCGACATCATCTCCGTCAGATATAAAAGAGCAGGAGCTCATATTAATCTCCTCCATTTTTGAAATTGAGATTTCTAAACGTTCACTTATAGAAATCATAAAAATTCAAAACGGAAGTTTATATTTAAAGCTTCGAAGTACGATATTTCGAACATATTCAGTAATGCTCATTACATAATTAAAATAAAAACATCATGATGTAATTTAAATGAACGTTTACAATTTGTGAGCATTTTAAATTCCGAGAGCTGACAAAGAAACCGCTAATTACTCGTGTTATATATAATTTACTCACTCGACCCGGATATTGCTGTGTGCAAATCGCATAATTTTATTCTATATTTGTTGTAAAATTAGACCGTTAACTTGTTTTCCTGCCAGTTCATAATGAAATATACTTTTTGAAAGATATTAGGCAATCCTCTTAGATCAATTTTTATTTCTGTTCCGAAAGCATTTGTGAGCAATTTCTTCTTGAATAAAATTGATTCTTTGATAATAATTTGCTTAAATTATACCGGCTTATCGTATGAATGAATAATGCTTCAAATTCAAGTGCATATTGATCAGAGAAAATTTAACTTAAAAGGTCAGTTAATTGCTATAAAATAGAATTTATTGCCAATGTTGATTTCTTTATGCTTATCATGTAATAAACAGAAATTCATCAAAAGTGACAGCTCTCAATTTTTTGACATTTGTAAATTCTAAATTTAATGAGAAAAATGAAATAATACTAAGCATAATACAATATTCTAGATTTAATTATAATTAGGGAAAAGTTAGTTTTGAGAGTACTTTTCATAGGCATATAGAATGAAATCTCCTGAAAAATAATATCACATAAACTCATATTATTTTCTAATATATAACTATTTTATATAAAAATCAAATTCAATGATCTTAAAAGCGAAGGATAAACCTCAAAATTTACGAATATAATGAGTGGGAATATAATGCTTATCTATCATAAAACCATATGAAATATCAATTTTTGCTTTATGCCTAATTTTTGACGACAATTAGCAAAAAATGTTAAATGTTAACACTCAGTCCATTTGAATATGAAAAATAAAATTGACTTTGATTAAATGTTTTTATTTATCATGCAATTCTTCTTGCGACCAAAGATTTGAATAAAAGTTCAAAAAATAAGATAGCTTAAAAAATAATATACGGTAGTGTTTACTAATAGATGAATAGTATATAAATTCTATTAAAATGGATTTGATCCAAAAAAATATATAAAATTTGATCATAAATAAAATCGTTTTAAATTACTTCTTCATTTAAATATATAACAATTATTTTTGGTTTTATATTTTTTTGGATCAAATCCATTTTAATAGAATTTATATACTATTCATCTATTAGTAAACACTACCGTATATTATTTTTAAGCTATCTTATTTTTTGAACTTTTATTCAAATCTTTGGTCGCAAGAAGAATTGCATGATAAATAAAAACATTTAATCAAAGTCAATTTTATTTTTCATATTCAAATGGACTGAGTGTTAACATTTAACATTTTTTGCTAATTGTCGTCAAAAATTAGGCATAAAGCAAAAATTGATATTTCATATGGTTTTATGATAGATAAGCATTATATTCCCACTCATTATATTCGTAAATTTTGAGGTTTATCCTTCGCTTTTAAGATCATTGAATTTGATTTTTATATAAAATAGTTATATATTAGAAAATAATATGAGTTTATGTGATATTATTTTTCAGAAGATTTTGTGTTCTTCTTCAAAATTTTATTTTTTTATTAAAAAGAATCTTTACAAAATATACATTTACTTTAATTAATATTTAAAAACGTGCTCTATCAAAAGTTCCAAAAATTCAATATTTTAGCTTTTCTGAGGTGTCACTTTTGATGAATTTCTGTTTACAACAATCAAAACATGAATAAGCTTTGTTTTGCTTATACAATTTTGATTCATAATAGAGCTATTACAATGAATATGGGGATGATTAATCTATAATTTATTTTTTCATATGGTTCCATAGTAGAAAGATCTGATCTATAAATAAATAGAATATTAACACCTCAATATTCTGTAAGTCTTTTATTTTTCATTGAGCATATATCCTTCTATGAATTTTAGAAGTTATGTATTAATGGTAAGTTTCAAAATATAAATCATAACATCTTGGGGGTGATGAAGTTTAAACCTGAAAGAATTTTACTGTTCTTCTAATCAGCATATGTATACGCATGCGAAATTGATAATTTTTACTCAGTAATTTCAACATTTTATTCTAATTTGAACTCAATATGATGTTTCTCGTCTTCGAAATGATCAGATTCTTAAATCACATATTCTGTTTGGTATAACTATTGAGTTTTTATATAACTCGATTTTTTTGTAAAATCTAACTGACGATTATTTTTTTTAAAATGACAAATATTACACGAACTAAATGGTCAATATCAAGAGATTCATTAGAAAACTATGAAGTTAGTATTAAACACATTAATCTTTTAAGTGCGAACTTCATTTTGTCTGCCTTTTTAGTTCGGAAACAGATATATAGTGTATTAGCTTTCAAAATCTCAATCGAGAACATTTCATACAAAATATACGAACTAATAGCTACAATCAATCTTTTAAACAGAAATGGACCGCAGTTTAATATACCAATTCCGATTAAAAACGTTTTTAACAAAAGTTGCACAGAAATCTCATTCGAAACCGACTTAGACTTAGACCAAATTGATATTGATGGCTTCTTTTCGTTAGGTGAATTAGCTTTTGAAGTCGTTTTTTCATGTGTTGAAAGAATCAACAAGAAATTGATCGATCCGATAAATGTTTCGATTAATGACATCATAAAGAAGATTTTGAAACCACACAAACTTACAGATCGTTCAGTTTTGAATGAACAACAGACAGATTACTTAATGGCCGCAACTAAATCAGTTCTTTTAGATCAGCCGTCTCTACTTCATCTAAAAGGCCCAATAATTCTTGTCGGAGACTTACATGGAAAATATTTTGACATGTTAAGAATTTTCCTCAAATTTGGATTTCCTGATAAGGTTAATTACTTATTTATGGGTGATTACGTCGATAGGGGATCTGATAGTTTAGATATTGTCTATCTTCTCTTTGCTTTGAAAGTTAGATTTCCAGAAAATATCTTTTTACTTCGCGGAAACCACGAATGCGAAGAAATTACAACAGTAAGTGGCTTCAAAGACGAATGTGACAAGAAACAAGCCCCTTACAAAGGAATTATTTCAGTTTTCGATTGTTTACCTTTATCCGCTATTATTTCGAATAAGATATTCGTTGTTCATGGTGGGATATCACCTCACCTTAATTCTCTGAGCCAGATAGAGACAATCCAGCGACCAATTATCTTTGATACAGATCATCCAGTAAATGATATGCTCTGGTCAGATCCGAACACGAATATTGAACACTACGGAATGTCAGAGCGTGGTCCATTTTCGATTTATGGCCAAGCAGCAGCTCTTCAGTTCTTAAAAAGATTTAATTTCGAATTACTCGTTAGAGCTCACGAAGTTACTGCAAATGGCTTTGCATTTCCATTTGGTGTTGATGTACCTGTTGTTACACTTTATTCTTCAACGGATTCACACAATGGAAATAGAGGAGCTGTAATGTTGATCAGCGAAAGGCTCCGTTACACATTTGACGTGTTTAAGGGATTAGATGTTCCGGGAGAAGCTCAGTTAGAGAAAAAGGACTTTTCCGGACTTATTTCAATTTGAATTTTTTTTTTATCATTTTTTTGTTTGTAATAAAAACGTATCCATTCTAATTATTATCTTTATTCATAATCAAAACCCTATGAAATAATACTTTCTTAGTTTTTATTGTTCGTTTAATATTTAGGAAGCTTTGAACGCTTATATATTGTCATTTTAATAGCCTAATAAGAAGTTGCTTAAGCCGCATGTGTATACATTGGCTAATGTATATATTTAATGCATTTGTATTGAATGGATGCAAAGTTTTATAACTAGAAAACAAGAAATTTATCATCATCAGAATTTTTAGGCTTTGAGCTTTCAATTTCAAAGAAAATATCAATTCAATATCAAATATTGTAATGCAACTTTGATGTAATAAATGCTTTGTTAAAATTTTGTAAATCAGCTCAAATTTTTGAAATTTTTGGAATTTTCCTCATTAATTATCAATAATTTTATTATAAAAATATTTGGTAAGTAATAATTATTATAGTTTGGATATTCTGAGCTAATTCTGCCTTCATTATGAAGTATGATTTAGTTGTTATCTCAGGTACAAGTCCTGATAGTAGACCTTGCGTCGCTCTTACTTTCTTAGATGCAGTTTACTTATTCAATTGCCCAGATCAAACTCAGAGAATATTCAGAGAAAACAAAATTAGATTTGCAAAATTAGATACAATCTTCATGACATCTCTCCATAGCCATTCTCTTGGTGGTTTTCATGGCCTTCTCATTACAGTTATGGACAATAAACAGAAAAATGTTCAGATTTGTGCCCCTACAGGAATTGAATCCGTCCTTGAATCGTATCGCAATCTTCATACCAACGAAAACATCAAACCAAATGTTGTAGAAAGCGTTTCAGATAAAAATATACAAGCAAAAACCATTCCTTTACATTTAACAAACGCATATGATGTCCAACTTTGCGAAGTTCCGGGCAAATTCCTAATCCAAAAGGCTAAAGAGCTTCAAATACCACCAGGACCAGTCTACAGGAAGCTTCAAGACGGAGAAACGATTACTTTAGATGATGGCAGAGTTATTCAGCCAGAAATGGTTGTTGGCCCTCCAACACCTGGTGAACACATCTTATTTGTTGATTGCAGATGCGAAGAAGACATAGATATGCTTCCAGACTGCAAAAACTACGATTTTGTAATTCATTTTACAAATCTCGACATTTTAAGAACGGAAAAGTACCTTTCCAAGTTCTCTCCTGACCAAAGAGCCCTTATATTCACAGAAACAGGCCATATTACCTTCCCATCCGTTGCTAATCTCTACCAAAACATTTTGGAAATTTCAGATTTGTTCAAACCTCTTGTTCATTACGAAACCGACAAATCTCTGAATTTAGGAAAGAATTTCGTGATTGCCGAGCAAGGCCTGGAGTTCGCCTTTTGTCCAGTTGAAAAGAAAAAGTTCAATTTTCCGAAATACGACGTAAAACTCCAAAAAGTTCCAAAAATTGAACTTCCAAAAATCCAAAGTTTCGGAATCACTTTCACAGGCACTGGCAGTACTTATCCGAGCAAGTATCGCAATGTTGCAGGCATCTTGTTGCATACTACAGACGGATACATTGTTTTTGACGCAGGAGAAGGATTCGTTGGCCAAATAATGAGAAAATTTGGAATCGAAAATTGCAAAGAAATTTTAAAGAAATTGATAGCGATTTTCATATCCCATAACCACGGAGATCATGTATTTGGATGCTACGAACTCCTACAAACAAGAAGTCTCGTGACAGACGAAGATGTTCCAATATTTTGCCCCGACCAATTAAGAGACCATTTGTTAAATTTACAAAAAGTGTCAAGATTTGGAAATTTACATTTCCATTTACTTTCTAGAGAGGAATTGACGTTTTCCACTGGATCAACAACACTTGAGTTCATCCCTGTTATTCATTGCAAAGGATCTCATGCTGTTGTTGCGAATATTTCTGGTGGATACAGAGTTGTTTATTCCGGAGACAAAAGTTTCTCGGAAGAATTCGCGAAAAAGGTCGGAAAATGCGATTTGTTGATACACGAATCTACATTCTCTGATGACCTTGTTGATGAGGCAACTGCGAAGAGACACTCAACAATGGGACAAGCAATAGAAACAGGAAAACTTTGCAATGCAAAATACATTGTTTTGACTCATTTTTCACAGAGATACCCGAAGTTGCCTGTTTTCGAGGGTTCTGGCCACATCGCGTTCGCGTTCGACTACCTCTCTTTCGTGTTCGAGGATATACAAAAGCTTTGTGAAGTATGTCCGAAGATTTTCCAGATGATTTCAGATCTCGAAGCCGCTGAAGAAGAAGCAAAGAATTAGACTTTTAAAAAATTATTTATAGAGTGTATTATATATAAAATTATATCCATTTTTAAAATTATCAATTAGGGAAAAAAAATCTTATCTATCTGCCATAATCTACAAATTTTGAGATCTTTACATCGCAAGTAAGAGATAGGCACAATTTAGACGCAACATGTAGGTACATATCATAAGCTTATGCAGAAAATTATTTGCAATTGATGATATAATTTTGGAAAATCCTTCCAAATTAGGTGAATCCTATTGATAATTATTGAAACTTTTCTTAAGATATTTGTTGCAAAGAGAATGGCCGATCATTCAAGAGTTTGAGGTTTATCTTAAGATTCTCAAAGTCCAAACTAAAAATTTATTGGAAGAAAATATCCTAATTAGATTATATATGTATACTATAATTTTATTGAGCTGTGAAATATTCATGTTTTTAATTTTGAACTGTGAATTATCAAAAGATTTATAATATTTTGTGAGTTCACTATGAATTGTAGTGGGATTGCATCGTATTAACACAAAATAATGTTGCCAGAATAAAATTAATCAATATGGGAACTTTTGAAAAACTTTTTTATTGGATTTCCTTCCTCATTTGAGGAAAATCCAGATAACTTCAGCACAAGCGAATTGCAGACATATTCTCTCGCTCTTTGTGGGCCAGGCACCACAACTACATTACACTAGGGCAGAGTTCTTCCGAGGCCTCACATCATATTAATTACAGAATCCTAGGCCTTTTGGGAACTAGGAAAGAGTAGTAAGAGTACTTTAAGGCAATGCTCATTACGAAGTCTCTCATCGAATGAGAGATTTCGTAATGAACATTGCCCATTTCGAGTAAACTTACATCCCTGACCCTCAAGGGTTCAGAGAGTAGTGCTGTAGTCCATGAGAGCAATAACGTATAACTAATATCGACAGAAGCACAGTAACTCCGCAGCCTAGCTACGCTATCCTAGCAGCTAGGCTGCATAGTTATTGTGCTTCTGGCTTGCGTAACACTCATGGAAGACAGATTGGAGATCTCCCGCCGAAATCACTTGCTGATATGGATGGAGCAGCACTATGATTGACCAGATCAAAGGCTGCGTAGCATCCCAGCAAGTAGATAGTCGGCGGTGACTCCAGCTGTGGTCCACCATGATATTATGGCACTTTTGTATTTTGGCGGGAAATATTTATGCAAAAAATGAAAATGAAAATATAAGACCACAATATGATGCTCAACGACCGTTTTTAATTTTATAGAAATTTGATCGACAGAAATTGAGATACTGATATTTTCAAAAAGTTCTATATGAAAAAAAAAATTGAACCGAATTTTTTAGGTGCAAGTCGAGGCATTTTTCGACTCTACGGAAATGAAATCAGGACAAATCGTATAAAATAGTTGCAGATAAACTCTGTTTCAAAAATCAAATAATTCCGAGAAATTGAATTTGATTACATTAAAATATGCTTTTCTAGCAAATACAAATAAATGTAATGCATTTAAACCTAATGATGTATATCGCTGTTGAATGATTATCCACATTTTACTTGCCCCTATACAAAAATATTGAAAATAAGAATGAGATAACAAGCTCATTTCCAATTAAGCATACCATAATATTCAACCCAATAATTTTTAACATACTTCGTTTCTAAACATAATACTCTACATCACAATTGTGATAATAAAAAAACATCTATAGTGTGATTACGTCAGAAGCCATTGTAAGTAGAAAATTTCAATCTAAAATACAATAAAAGGATTTTCTTCCCACTAAAATCCAACATTTTTATAAAAAAAATATAAGATCTTGTTTTAACAAAATTATAGCTTGGAATATGAACATATGGTGTTGATTAAAGCTATAATATTACTGGTTTTATAATGAGGATAAACGTACAATTTTTGAGACAAAAAAACGCTCTCTTTAAGATAATATGTTGACTTTGAGATTCACCTACCATATATGTATATCTTTAGATGAATGAATACTATCATATTGTTTATGGGAGCAATGAAAGATATCTATCATGTGAGCCTACAAGATGCTATGAAGTTGATGAAAATTGAGAAGAGATAGGTGGTCGGTCGGAACCCTTAAGATTTTTTTATTTTTCTTGACTGAGAATGTATGGCAAGTTCAGATAAGCCAAAAAATGAAAATTGGTGCAATTACAGTGACCTTAAGCCAATTAAAGTATTTGAATACCCAGATCAAGCATCAAAAATTATTTGGGACGTCAGTTCCAATAATATTATACAAATATCTTCACAAATTATCGATTCAATAGCAGCCCACAAAATACCCATCCAAATGGCTCTATATTTGATTGATATTTTTTCAAAAATTCGTTTTAAAGAAATTAAATTATTTTCAGAACTTTATCAAAAGATATCAAACGCATTTTCATACATATATGAACCGAAAAATAAGAGACTAGCGACGATTCTACATTATCAAGGTTTCAAATTCGAAAACTTCGAACCTAAAATGAAAGAAGAAAAAATTCTGAATTTATATTCAACAGAATCTCCTTTATACTATATTGCATGGGATAAAGTTGATGATCTTAAGAGTAAATTCCCAAATCTTGACATTAATAAGAAAATTGATTATGAAATCACACCACTTGATTGTTCAATTAAATATGGCTCAGAATTGTGTTTCATTTACTTGAAAAATTTAGGAGCTAAATACACTAAAGACTCTGAAGAATATGGTGTTCAAGGCGGAAATAAAGAGATTTTTATGCAAATGATAGAAGATGGTAAATCATTTGATAGCATGATTAATATAGCATTGGGTTATAGAAACTATGATATTGCTGAGTACCTTATATCAAATTTTGGACAAACTCCTGATTCAATAGCAGAAAGTATGCATTTCGGAAATTATGAAATTGCATCTTATTTATTTTCTAATGGAGAAGATATCAACAAAATTTATAATCTCTTTCATTTCATATTTATCATAGTTTTATGACATTATCTTTCATTTCATATTTATCATTGTTTCATCACATTATCTTTCATTTCATATTTAACATAGTTTTATGACATTATTTTTCTTTTCATATTTATCATTGTTTTATTACATTATCTTTCATTTCATAATTTTCATTGTTTTATGACATTATCTTTCTTTTCATATTTATCATTGTTTTATTACATTATCTTTCTTTTCATAATTTTCATTGTTTTATCACATTATCTTTCATTTCATATTTATCATAGTTTTATCACATTATCTTTCATTTCATATTTATCATTGTTTTATCACATTATCTTTCATTTCATATTTATCATAGTTTTATCACATTATCTTTCATTTCATATTTATCATCGTTTTATGAAATTTTCTCGATATTAATGAATGCCCTCTTAGTATTGCTATCGCTGCGAATTCAATGGAAATTGTCCAATTCCTAGTGAGAAAGGGACAGACTAGCCCATTGTCACTTTTTAATTTAGCAAATGAACGCTTATGGAGTGGAGTTTTTGGGTAAATCTGATTTGCTTATAAATGAAATAAAATCAAAAGAAACCATATTGGCATTATATTATGCAAAAATAAATGATGTTACTTAGTACTTTTAAAGTTAATTTCAGAAAAAATTTGACACAATGGTATCCGGCACATACAAGTGGTGTACAACCAAAATATAAGTTGGTTTAAACATATATTGCTATATCTCATGATCTTACTTAGTACTTTTAAAGTTAATTTCAGAAAAAACTTGACACAATGGTATCCGGCACATACAAGTGGTGTACAACCAAAATATAAGTTAGTTTAAACATATATTGCTATATCTCATGATCTTACTTAGTACTTTTAAAGTTAATTTCAGAAAAAATTTGACACAATGGTATCCGGCACATACAAGTGGTGTACAACCAAAATATAAGTTAGTTTAAACATATATTGCTATATCTCATGATCTTACTTAGTACTTTTAAAGTTAATTTCAGAAAAAATTTGACACAATGGTATCCGGCACATACAAGTGGTGTACAACCAAAATATAAGTTAGTTTAAACATATATTGCTATATCTCATGATCTTACTTAGTACTTTTAAAGTTAATTTCAGAAAAAATTTGACACAATGGTATCCGGCACATACAAGTGGTGTACAACCAAAATATAAGTTGGTTTAAACATATATTGCTATATCTCATGATCTTACTTAGTACTTTTAAAGTTAATTTCAGAAAAAATTTGACACAATGGTATCCGGCACATACAAGTGGTGTACAACCAAATCTTCGACTCGATGAACTTGTCATCGAGTTATATTCCAGTGTTGTTCCTTCATTCCTGATTAAGTTGCAAATTAAAGGTCTGGATTCAGAGAGAAGTGTTAAAGTTATCAAAAAAGTCACAAGAGATTTCGAAGAAATGACACAATTTAAAAAAGTCGAATGCATCAGTATGCTTGAAGCTGTTCAGAAAGGTCTGAAAAATGATACACTTGATCCCAACATTGTTTACTCAACATTAAAAATATTATTGCAAAGAAAACATTTGATTTAATAAACATTTAATTTATTATAATTAATTTTTTATTACAGTATAGTAAAAAATGCTATAAATAAATTATTATATTTTATTAAAATGTGACTTTTAATAGTAAGTGAATAAAATAAATCAGGAATTGGGAAAGAAATAAGGTTAATTAAAAATAATGAAAATTACAAGTTTAAGGTTAATGAAAAAGTGACAATGGGCGAGTTTGTCCCCCACTCAATTCCTAGTTGAGCATTGTGCAGATGTTAACATGAAACTTATTCTCTTTCTTTTTAAATTTATCATTGTTTTATGATATTCTCTTTCTTTTCATAATTTTCATTGTTTTATCACATTATCTTTCATTTCATATTCATCATAATTCTATGACATTATCTTTCTTTTCATATTTATCATAGTTTTATTACATTATCTTTCATTTCATAATTTTCATAGTTTTATTACATTATCTTTCTTTTCATAATTTTCATTGTTTTATTACATTATCTTTCTTTTCATATTTATCATAGTTTTATTACATTATCTTTCATTTCATATTTATCATTGTTTTATCACATTATCTTTCTTTTCATAATTTTCATTGTTTTATGACATTATCTTTCTTTTCATATTTATCATTGTTTTATGACATTATCTTTCATTTCATATTTATCATTGTTTTATCACATTATCTTTCATTTCATATTTATCATAGTTTTATCACATTATCTTTCATTTCATATTTATCATTGTTTTATCACATTATCTTTCATTTCATATTTAACATAGTTTTATGACATTATTTTTCTTTTCATATTTATCATAGTTTTATCACATTATCTTTCATTTCATAATTTTCATTGTTTTATCACATTATCTTTCATTTCATATTTATCATAGTTTTATCACATTATCTTTCATTTCATAATTTTCATTGTTTTATCACATTATCTTTCATTTCATATTTATCATTGTTTTATGAAATTTTCTCGATATTAATGAATGCCCTCTTAGACTTGCAATCAAAAATAAAGCAATAAATATTATCAATTTCTTAGTTGAACATGGTGCTACAAATTGAGAAAGGGACAGACTAGCCCATTGTCACTTTTTAATTTAGCAAATGAACGCTTATGGAGTGGAGTTTTTGGGTAAATCTGATTTGCTTATAAATGAAATAAAATCAAAAGAAACCATATTGGCATTATATTATGCAAAAATAAATGATGTTACTTAGTACTTTTAAAGTTAATTTCAGAAAAAATTTGACACAATGGTATCCGGCACATACAAGTGGTGTACAACCAAAATATAAGTTGGTTTAAACATATATTGCTATATCTCATGATCTTACTTAGTACTTTTAAAGTTAATTTCAGAAAAAATTTGACACAATGGTATCCGGCACATACAAGTGGTGTACAACCAAAATTTCATATCCTTAGTTTTACATTTATGTTTAGTTTTATTTCACCTAATTTTCAAAAATCATAATTGAATTAGATGGCCAAGTTATTCAAAACACGACCAAGCTTATCAAAATAAGACCAATATATTCAAAACTCTTTATTCTTTCAAATCATTTCATTTTAATGCAGATCCAAGATCACGAACTCACATATATCGAGTTGCTTAAGTATGGAGTGCAACAAGAAATCCAAGCAGGTTGTAGTTATTCATATAAAACTAGGAAAGAAAGAAATCAAATCCAATTTAATTGTAAGTGGCCGAATTGTCCATGTCGCTTCCTTGTTGATACACTTCCCGATGACAAGTACCACATACGAAAATGTATTAACACCCACAATCATTCTGCCCCTTTTCCAAACAAATCACAACAAATTACATCATATTTTTATAGATCTTATTTAACAAGATATTTTGAATCAAATCAAGACCGTGTTTACGCACAATTAAGGTGTTTCAAAGATCTTAATATCCCATTTGATAGTGGGATCATTCCGGAAATGTTTCAACAATCTACAGATGCTTTAAAAAAGTTTTCTAAACGCCTTCATGCAATCAATACCAGTTTCTCAGCGGATGATGTTACATCTCTTGCAATTTTGTCGACATGGTTAAGAGTCATTCTCCGGATGATCTCATCGAGTTTATTCACGAGCCAGATCGTATGATTTTCTATTACGCCCCATTCGAAGCAAATGCTTTTTCACATCAAATACAAACTTATCACATTGATTCCACTTATAAGCTCTTGCGCTCTCGCATACCATTTTATGCCGTCACTGGCAAATTCGCGGAATCAATTGTTTTTTCGTTTTTGTATTTTTTCGTTTGGCCCGACACAAGTGAAAATATACAAGTTTGTCTCACAGCATATTTTGGCTCCATCAATCGCGAACCATCTTATTTTTCAATGGACTGCGCACCTCAAATCACAAATGCTGTTGAAACAGCCATCCCCTTATGCCAGATCATTTGGTGTGGCGTTCATGTGTTGCGCGCTGTCATGAGAAAGGCTGAAAAGTTTCAAGATCGTTCCAACTTCGAAACTTTCTATAACTTAATGAAGTTATTGGTCTTTGGTTCTGAAGAGGAAGAAATTGATCCTGATGAAGTTTACAACAATTTAGAAGAAATTTTAAATGAGGAACCTGCTGCCCGTGAATACTTTGACCGACAGTGGCGCCATCATCTTGACAGGTGGATGCTTCGCTATAGAAATGAAGGAGATGGAACAAACAACATCTCGGAATCACATTTCAAGGTTTTGAAGCACCAGTACTTCCCAGAAAGGCGAAATCTTCGACTCGATGAACTTGTCATCGAGTTATATTCCAGTGTTGTTCCTTCATTCCTGATTAAGTTGCAAATTAAAGGTCTGGATTCAGAGAGAAGTGTTAAAGTTATCAAAAAAGTCACAAGAGATTTCGAAGAAATGACACAATTTAAAAAAGTCGAATGCATCAGTATGCTTGAAGCTGTTCAGAAAGTTAGTATACATAACAAGGGTACGACGGCACTGCGTTCCACCGTACCCCTGTTATGTGAATTTGACACTTTACAAAACCGTTAACGTATATTTTACAATACAAACGACAACACTAACTTAACCTTAAATATTTACAAAGCCGCCAACCACTTCACCTCACTAATGTAAAAAATAAACGTTCTCACTTACAAAAGTATTGCAACTCCTCCCATTGCTGTGCTTCATATAACAGCTCATAATCTTCTGACTCACTTTCTTCTTCATATAGGTCAAAATCACTGTCATAGTTTATACCTGTAAGTTTTGACAAAGCTAATGAAACACGCTTACCGTTTGTATCATATGCTTGTATAAACTTTCCATTATGCTTGTAGTCATAAACGCTCAAACTAACTTTACCCTTTCTCCCTCGTATCTGATAGAATGTATTTTCACGAGGAACGAAGAACAAATTCTTGAACTCATGACCGTTGTAGTTTGTTATCTCAATAGTTTTCGTCATTTATATAAAAATAAAATAA